AAAAAAAAAAAAAAAAAGAATACGTACATTAAAGAAACATAAAATTAGACGTACGAATATTCACGGATAATAAATGAATGAAATGAAATGAAAAATTTACACTGTTTAATTTAAGAAAGAAATGGAATGGAATACTTTCTCATAAATGTTCATGTGGAAAATAACGGTGCGACAGTTGCGCTAAAATTCCATTATATCGGTCTGCCATCAAATTATACTTAATTTTATGATCAGTTTGATATTTTGCGCTAAATTCATAGCTTTTTTTTTTTTCTGCTACAAATTTATATTCATTATCGATAAGCATTTTAGCTATGCGACCAATCAATAGCAGAATGATGATCGCTGATAAGGACAGATAAATGTGCATTTAATCTATTTTATTTTTATTTTCCATAGACAGAATTAACTGCATATCTTCACTGCACAGTACATTTCATATTTCTGTAAATGCAGGAAAATGAAGAAAATGGTTCTGTAAACTTTTTCATGATCAAAAGTAATTTTATTGATTTTTGTACCACAATTAATTCTTTTTATAATTCAAACTTTCAAGAGATAACAATAATATTTGAATATAAGCCTGCTGCCTATTCATACTAACTTTTTAGAATGTTTGAATTAAAAAATTTTTGAAAAACGAAAAAAGTTTTTTTCAAATTGTTAATCAATTATAAAAAGAAAAGAAATTTTTTTTTTTTTAAACAACGGAATAATTTATAATTATTTTAAAATTCAACTAAAGATTACTCATTTTGGTCAACGATGTAATTGAAAATACTGTCCACTCACCTTCCATCCATCCATTAAAATCGCCAGCACTATTAATGACATCATTACAAATCACACTATCCGATGAGCTGCTCATTATCAATCACTTATCGCAACCAATTATTGATCACAATCAAATCAATGAGTAATTTATCTTTGTTTAGCTGTTTATATCATCATCTACTGAATATGCAAATTGCTCTGCATAGTTTAATGTTCAGAGTAAGAAAAAAATCATGAAAAAGCTATGAATCATTCCCCAGAGATAGAGAAGAGCTTTATTAATTGGTTTCAATTAATAATCACCTGAACTTTCTCCAGATATTTTCAGCATTTAGAATACCTGGATTAAAAAAATTTTGAGTTACTATAAAACAATAAGAGGAAAAAATTTGCGAGCACAAAATTTGAAATCTGTGAGATAAAAATAATGGCTAGAGCTTTGAGGATTAATTAATTAATTCCCAAATGCATTAAGACACAAATGTTACCGTTGATGAATCATTTCATAAATAATTAATTTATCAAAATAGGAAAAAAATTTTTTTTTTGCTTACATCATATTTTTGTAAAGCCTAAATGCATAAGTTTTTTCAAATTGTTGAATTACAAAAAGTTGGGGAAAAAAAGAAAAAAAAAAGATTAATGAAATTGTTTGGTTCTGTTGAATCACTATTTCACCATTAATGATTAATTAGTGAGCTATATAGTTTGAGACTTTTTAAAATTTGAACAAAAAGAAAGAGAGGGAGAGAAAGAGGGGAAGAGGGGAGGGGGGGGNGGGGAAAAATTAGTTAAATTAGTACAATATGCACTCAACATATGGCATTGATGGTTTATTAATTGCTTTAAAATTTCGATAAGTTTTAAAGTTTTCTTGAAGTAACAGACTCACAAAATATGTATTGCAATTTGCAAATAGTTTTGCTCATTTAATTTCATCATTTTTCCTTCCCTTCCTCACTCTTCACTCTTCACAATTAATATTCAAATATTGTTTTAGCAGAACCGATTTATACTGTTACCATTCATCTACATTATGTTCCACTTTTTTTTTTCTTAATTTGAGTTTTATAAATTGCAAAATGATCTGAATTGACCGGTTCATTCTAGTTCAATTGCTAGCATTATAAGCCAGTTAGTTAGTTAATTAGTTAGCTAGTGCTTAGCAATAAATGATTTACTATATGGTAGAATTAAATTTTTGATAATTCCTTATTTGCCACCTTAAATTTGAAAATTATTTATTAATCGATTAGTTCGTTATAATTAATTTGTTAGTGCTTAACACCGAATGATCTGCTCCAGTATTGTAAAATTGAATTTTTGATTACTCTTTATTTTCTTCCATAAATTTGAAAGTTATCTATTTTGTAGAAATTAGAGTTATTATTTGTAAACTTTGTAATTAAAAACATATTTTCAAATCTCAATACAAAACATTTACAACTTTTCAATTTAACAACTTCAACATTTCAAATGAAATGTTGAAGTTGTTAAATAATTGTTAAATTAAACAGTTAAATGTTTTGATGCAATTCACATTCTTCTTGTTTAACAACACTCAAATTCTATTTCTTCTTTAAATTTTTGATGAATTTTTCAGAGCTAACAATGAAGAATTTGATCCACGGTAAGTTAATTTCTTCTTTTTGCTTCTGACAGAAATGAAATCCCATAAAGCTCTTACGACCCTTAAATTCATTTCATTTAATGCTTTCTATATTTGCGCAAAAAAAGATAAAGGAAGAGATGAACATTATAAGCCAACGATTTCTTATCAACATTTCTACATTTTTCATATCTGAGGAATGAAAAAGGCCAGTGAAATAATTGATGATGTTGAATTTCACAACAAATTGAGAGTTTTTATTGCATATATGGTAGAATTAAATTTTTTGTGTTATAAATAAATAAATGAGAACAAAAAATTTCGAAGCGATTCTATCGACCTTTTGATCCCTTTAAATGCTCTCGAATTTTAAAAATTTAAAAATTTTCCTTATAATCAAATACTGATCAAAAAGAGATTTCACTCAAGCCTGCACAATTATAATGGATCTATGTCAAATTGATTATGCATACTAAAACTTCCTCTTCTCAGTTCTTCCAATAAAAGAAACATTTTTGGGATCACAGAAGTTAACTCAAATACCTCCCTAATGGATAAATGAAATTGACTTATAATTCCGGATTAAAAATGCTGATATATATGAAACAAATGTTAACGTTCTGTAATCGAAATGATAATGCTATCATCGTAGAAGTATTATTTGCACAGTCCATCTCAATGTTTTGGATCAAAATTAGTGCTTGACCACGATCTCCTTTGATATTTCCGCCACTAATTTCCTAATTCAAAAACTATCTCTTCAGATAAAATTTTTATTTATTATGATTATAGAATGTACAATTTTTGGGTGAATGAAATTTTATTATCATATCTTTGAAACGATATGTGCATTTAGTGTTAATATCAGTTGGATTACTGTTCCTGGAAATGTGCTTAAGTGAAGATGAGCACATAAATCATGATAAAACGCAACCGCGAGAAGTGAATTATAAAAAATTCATTGGTGAAAGACAATATGTAAGTGAGATATTGTGAATTCTAATCTGAATATAACCTTTCATTCCATGAATTTATACTCGTTCCGGATCGTTCCGGATCACCGCCAAATTTTAATTCTATTATTATCTACGAATAACAAGTGAAAACTTTAAAATGATATAGTTTATAATTGTTAGGCTTAAATCTTGACAACATTAGGGTTATTACATCGATGTCAGTTAAAGTTTTGCTACTAATTAATGAGAATTAAAATGATTGAAAATTCTTGAAATTTTTTTTGTAAAAAAAATCTGAAAATTATCAGTGAACTTTACAAGCTTACATATTTTTAATAAGACAGTTTACTTAACTGCAGATGATACCGTTTAAAAGTCGAATTAGTCAGCCATTTCAAGAAGGACAGACCATTCATGCAGTTGGTATGATAAAACCCGATGCTAAGAGGTTTGGAAGTATTTCGTTTGAATTTTTAAAAATTTCCTTTCATTTTGTTTTTTTTTTGAAAATTTTCAAAAACTTCTTGAATTTCGAAAGTACTAAAATATGAATTTAAGTAAAACAGGGCTATGTAAATTTCCTAAAAATTTAGAAATAATCGAGTAAGTTTATTTTAAATTATAGCATATTTCCCTGACGAATGCTAATACGTACGTAAAGAAATGTCCATAATTTTTAAAGAAACAAAGAGAATAAATGAAAAAAAAAATAAAGCTATAAATTGAAATAAATCCATTTCAGAATTGATATTAATTTCCACAAAGGTGCAGGTAAAGATGTTGACCTTCCACTACATCTCAGTATTCGATTTGATGAAGGTAATTTTATTTCTCCTCCAACACATTTAGCACTACTCCATGTAATTAATTTATTTACCCAAAAATTTATTTCAGGAAAAATGGTCTATAATTCATATGTGAACGGCATTTGGGGTAGCAATGAGCAACGATTAAAAAATCTTTTCAAGCCAAATACAGAAATGGATATTAGAATTCGTATTATCAATAATAAATATCAGGCATGCATTTGCATTTCAAGCAATTCAAATGAGGTTTTTTGTGAAAGCATAAATTGTTTTCATTGTATCATCTTCAAATGATAATCATAATTTTCATATAATCTCAAATATTTTCTTCTAATTAATCCAACAGTTTGAGTAAAACTTTGGGACTATTGCGATAGCTTTAAACAAGAGGCAATTACTCTGCGAAAGAACTTTTTGGCGTAGAATCGTAGTAGAATGGTTGTCATTATTATCACGCGACTTTATCGGTCAATAATACTATTTTGATATGCGATAAACAAATTATCTGAAGTCAATCAATTTATCAATTTTCATCATTTATTGCTTAAATTTAAATCAATACCAATCATACAGATATTTGCAAATCGTGTGGAAGTGGGTACATTCGAACAACGAATACCGCTAGATGGAGTAAGTGAAATGAATTTAAATCTCTTTCCTTTCGTAATATTTTCTTCCAGATAATGAAATTTCACGTAGAAATTTATATTTATGATAATTTCAATACCAATCATACAGATATTTGCAAATCGTGTTTTTAACTTTCATTGACTCATGTTTTTTTTTTTTTTTAAATCATCGATATTTCATTCATAAAAAATCATATAAACATATAAATTAATCGTTCGTTGCAATCTCATTAATACTTCTCATCTATGAATACAATTACAGTATAAAATTAAAAATTATTTTAAATTTTAAGATTGAAAAAATTGACGAATGCAAATTAATGATAGAAAAGATGATATTTTCAAAATGAAAATTATTTTAGGTGGATCATGTATCGATTAGTGGTGATTTGGTCAATCTTCGATTATTCCATTACGGTGGTCGAGTGTTCCCGATACCATATACAGCGGTCGCTGAAGTTATCCCAGGAAGACGATTGGACATTTCTTTATTCCCAACTGGTAAGTATCAATGATGCTGGACAATTATATTGAACAGTTTTAATCTTTTCATTAATCAATTGTTTAACAAATTAAATTATCAAACAGTAATAATAAACTTAAGTCCAATGCAAATGAACAAATGGTAATGTTTACTGTAATGAAATTAAGAATAAGAAATTTTATCTCTAAAAAATATTTGTCAGTTAATAAATTGGCAAGAAATATCTCATTGATCGAAGTATATTCGAATGAAAAAATGAAAATGAATGAATAATGATAAGTATTGATAAGCATTTAAATGGTTTGCAAATGAACATTTGATCAAGTTCATTATGATGTTATTAACAAATTTTTGCAAATTGACAGAGTAAAAAAAAAAGTTGAATTTTAAAATTTAGGCAAACGATTTAATATCAATTTATACAACAGTAATCGACAGTATGCATTGCAAACATCAGTTCGATTCAACGAGGGTACTGTAGTACGGAATGCAATGGAGAATAATGCTTGGGGACGAGAGGAACGAGAGGGTGCGCTACCGATCGTCAAAGGAGAAATGTTAATTTTATCTTTGCTTAAAAAAAAAAAAAAAAACTTTAACTTTTTTAAAGTTATTTGGAGATTTACCAGAATTTTATGATTATTTAATATAACAATACCTTTAGCCACACAGTAAC